AAAAAACATGACGTTAATAGAGGGAAATATTTCATTGCGTACTGTGTAACTGTGAATATTTTAAAATGATATACCTAAAATGATCTAAATAGGCGCAATATATGATTGGATCGACACAAATCCATGAAAAAATAACTTTGTTGAAGATGAACGCATTTTTAGTTCAGATCATGCTATAAATTTTGAAAAAAATACAAACGTAAACCTTCACACCTTGAGATGTTGTGGATTTTAGTAGCTACTGTTTACAAACATCGGATTAAAAAAAGTGATCCACTTGGAATAAATGGCGAAGTGATTCAAAATGATAATATTTCTTTTTCGCTTTAGGCAAATGTTTCAAACATGTTATTGCAACAGGCAGGATTCCCGTTTCTAATCTCAAAATAGTTATAGACGTGAACAAATCTTCATTTCGGAATTCACTTCGTTGATACCTATACCTCTTCTAGTTTACTAATTTTCCAAATACAGTTTTATTAATATTCTTTTGAACAATCAGCCGCACCGATAAATAATCAATGGCCGAGTTCGTATCATTTTATTTTTGTAATGATTATACATTTAGTTGTTTACGTTTCTGCCCTTGGGTAAAAGTACCTACCATTTTTGGTAATGGCTGACGAATGATGTGGCGACGGTAAACTTTACCAAATCTCATTTAACGGGAGCGGGGGGTTATTGAAATTCTCATGCTAGCTTTTTAAATCAGAGTATAGGGGTCGTCCATGACGGAAGTCCACTGTTTTTCGACATTTTCACCCCTCCCCCCGGGTCTAACAGTCCCATTTTGAGGATCCCCCCCTTAATAAAGACGTCACAAATTGCAGACCACCCATCCCCTAATTTAAAAAAAAAATTATTAAAGCAAAATTGTCCAACAAATGTTTAACTGGAAATAACTATTTCATATTCATTTTTTTTAAACAATTTTAATAATAATCTTATTAAAATTAAATGCTATTACATATTATTTTTCTACATTTCTAAACAGTAAGCCTTATATATGTAAAGAATGCCACCTTGCGATCCGCGATTCGAGGAATTTCTGTCAGATGACAAACATCAATCTCTAAGACTTCATAGCTATTGCAGGATTAGTCAGTCTAGTGATACGTATGGAACTTATGTATAAAACTCTAACATAAGTGAATACGTATGTAGGTAATCGGTGCAACGTTGTACAATACATGAAGAACGGGTTTACTTACTTACATTACACACATACCTATATATATATATGTATGTATAATATGTGGATAGGTTAAGTATGAGCTATTTTTACATTGCGCGTGTTAATGTGGACTCCCCGTGGTCATTGTTTTCAACTGTAACTTGTTGGACATTATGCTGAATAATATTTAAAGGAATTTCATAAATAAGTTTTATAAGCAGTGCAGCAACTGTGCAACCAATAAACCTAAACTCTCGGCATTTGTATAAAAATAACTGTTTTGTTGACTTTGCAATCACCCGTCTCTTTCTATCTCGAGTATTGTTATCAGAAATACTCATTTAAGAAATCAGTTGGCATTTCGCTATTGACTAGTACGTACGGTGCGGTCTCTCTACCTGCCTGCGCTCCGAGTCTTGTCCGACACATCGTCATCGTGTGCCTGCTTGCCTGCTCGCCGCTTGCTTGTGTCGTGTAGTTGTGTTATTATCGTCATTGTTGTGTCGTAGCCGTCATCCTTCCCTTTGTAAATGTTTCACATTTCGGAACTGATCTGCCTGTGTTATTCGTACATCACATTTTCGGTGTTGAATTATGGTGAGTGGATTTGTGGCTAGGTATTATACCTACTCGCGTTCAAAAACGCAGCACCATTGGCATTTTCAACATAAATACACGTGTACACGTACATATCCGATTTGCTTATGCACAAAAACAAGCAGTTTCTTTAGTCGCGTATATTATTTTATTATTTTGTTCAAGTTTACTGATAACGTTCGAGATATGCCTGTATCTGTTTCTATATTTGTGTGTATACGTGTATGAGTGTTTTAATTCAGTTTATAGTTTGTAAATACGTTAAGTTTAAGTTGTAACATAAATTGTTTTTTTATTTTATATAGAATAGATGATGTCTAGGCACAGAAACCGAAGTGTTGTTATACATAATAATTCGGATTATTTGGTTATAGATAGAAAGTTTTCGAAGTACTATCATATCATCATTGCGAATATGTTTCTGTTAATGTTCACGTTTGTTAATGAGTTTGTCACTTAAGTCGATGTCAAATGTACATAGTATTATTACTTACTGCATTTTGACTGATACGTAGAATTTTTAATCACATTACGTATTGAATTTAAATTTATTTATTTGTACACCATTTGTAAAGTCATCTAATCGAAAGTTTCATGTCAAATATTTTATTTACAAAATGTATCAAATTCTAAAAGTATCACCATAGTAGATAACTGTGCGTCTAAATGTATTACGATTATTAAAATTTTAATAATAAACGTGTTTTAAAAAACAATTTGAAAGAAACATTCTCAACCAAAAATACAATTATTCAATAATTGTGCCATATTTTCCTCAGGTTGATGCAAGCGAGACTTTAGAATACTTGCATTAAGACAAAAATACGTAAAACTATTAAAAAAACAAATGCTAAAAATATTTGTTGATTTTGCATCAGCGGGGCCTATCTATATCTATTTGATGCAAAATAAAAGTCATTACACGTGATCAATACGTCATAAAAGTAAATTACATCATACCAGGTCAACGTAGGAAATCCACTCAAATTACACAGATAGGTAACATTAATGTAATCTCATTCTACTGCTTCGGGATTTTTGTACACATTAATTAACTGCACAATCCACACACGACTGTTCTAAGAAGTAGTCTTAAGTTGAAAACTTAAAAAAAAAAGTAAGAAGACTAAATAGCTGTAGGTACACGAAATTGACCAAACAAATAATAAACACAAATGGCAAACCTTACAGTTTTGTCCGTAAAACTGCCAACTGATATTAATATGAGAAATAACCATTATGTACTACTTAAATACGAATATTCATCTGGAGAAATCACTCCTGTATTGACATTATTTTTCTCTCTGATAATGTCATAAATCAATTCAATGTTTTTGCTTATTGAGTATAGATGTATTTACAGCCTCGCATTTACCGTGTTGCTCGTGTCTACTTATTATGTTTGATTTTATCAATTTTTCCCCAAAGGATTTCGATGAAATAAGAATGAATTGTAAATTCTGGAGTCCTTTTTTATTTTACTTTATTCAAGAACTATTTTCTTTTGCGTTCTTACACACAATAAGTCGTTGATAACGTTGTAAATTTAGTTCTACTATTGTCTACTATTTAACCGCAAAAACCGAATATTCGTACTGATAATATAATTTTATAATGATAATCCAGTTTCTGCCCTATACATGTATGTATATTGTAAGATAAGTAATGTAAGCTAGTAAAACTTTTACTTAAAAATGAATTTGTAGTACAACTCATTTTGAACAAAATATCACTAATAAGAACAAAGGCTTTCACGGCCGGAATCCACAGTAGAATAAAGATTCGGGCTATAGGACCGTGGACTGGAAGTGAACTATTCTGTCCAGACGTTTCGTCGGCTACTGCGGCTGACATCCTCAGTGGTAGTGCTGCGTTGACAACGTGAACGTAGATTATATCTCGAAGTCTCGACAGCGACTTGCGACCCCAGTTCACTTAGACCACGGCCCTGTAGCTCGAATCTTTATTCTACTATAAATTATCACTAATTTTATTATTTTCTGTTTTTCACCCAAATGTAAAAATCAAAGAAACTGGAAACTTTGGCGGGGTGTTGTGTAATATAAAACACACTAAATAGCTCAAACCGTCTAACACCAAAACTTATATAAACGTTCCGTAACAATGGTATCTTCCTCAGTGACTGACAAAAGTTGTAAAGACGTTTTAATAGTGTGTTTTGAGCTACTTAGTCTGTTCTATAATTGCAGTTATCAATGATTAAATTTCTTATGCAACTTAATTTATATATAGGAAATGGAAATTTTTAGCCTTTGTTTTAGTAGTTCGTTACTTCTTGGTTCTTTTGCGAAATAAAAAAATATTTGTGCTTTATTTAAATAGAGTTCATATCTCATTGCCGTGTTGCAACTTGACGAAGGTTGTTTCACACTGTTGATGTTTATGAATTACGTTATTGAAACATGTTTCTTATGATGCTTTCACAATAATGTTTTTTAAACTTTATAGTTAACCTACATCGATTTTTAGTGAAGTGCTAAATAATCACTTTTTGTCAGTTTCCGCACAATTGAATATGTTTAATCACACAATTGACGTTTATTATTAATTAAAAGATACAGAGTATTATGTATACAGGGTGCCCAACATTACTGTCTTGGAAACGGTAAGAGTTACAATATTGATTAAATATTAGACAAATTGGGTAGCTTTTAGAGGCCAATTTTAATTCGTCTAATTTAACTTCAAAACAAAACAAGTTAGAAATAAGCTTTCTTATCAAAAAAGTGCTCAATCTGTAATCGCTTATACGATGCAGTTATTTGCCTTTTTGTACCGAGTATGGTTTTCGAGGTACAAATAGTAACAATAATTTAATTACAGATGGTTTAATCTAGAAAATTCATTTTCATATTTTTTTTTATGTTCTTTCTATGTATTACTTCAGCAAAACAAGTTATTTGTAGTTCAATTGTATTTTTGGCACGCCATACTTAACTCGCAGGCTGAAATTAATAACTGGAAAGGGCCCATATTGTCTAATTTAATCGATGTTGTAGCATTTGCCGTATCCGACATTGCAATACATTCATTTAACATTTGAAACAGCATGTAAACTATTTTATTGTAGACTATCTTCTACCCCGCTACTTTGTTATTTCTAAGAAGTGTTGTCCCTGAGCTACCAAATAAATAAGATATTTTATTATTCACATTAGTATCATTGGATTTGCAAATCTGAAATATTTATATCCTTTCTTTCTTTTAGTTGTTGAATGAAAAGAATGACGACGACGATCTGGAAGCTCGGGCAGGATTGAAAAAACAAAGCGAACTCCTTTCACAGCTTCTCAAAGATGACGAAGAAAGGAAACCTGAAACACAGCAGTCTCATGATGACTCCTTGCTTCGTAGCCTGGGCTTCAGCCCTTCGCCTTCGCCACCGAATGGTGAACGAAGCGGAAGAAAGCGACCGAGCGACGACCGAGATGACAACCCATCTAAAAGAAGCTCTGACGGTGTTTCGTCGTCAGGTTCAACCGGAAGTAAATTGTGCGAACGAAACAAAATGCTCGCTTCGCTGCTCGCGAAGCAGCCCAATAATCACATACCCATACCCCCTGTACCTGCCAGTGTGATATCTGCCACGCCTCAAGAGAAGCTGCCCAAAATAGTCGATTTAAACAAAAACACCAACATCCAAAACCGTATGAGCAATCCTGGTGTTCAGCAGTTGAACAGCAGAGGACCACAACGGATGCCTCGTTCACATAATACAACAAACTACCTCAATCTCCAACCCGGAGACAACAACAATAGCATACAACGAACGCAAGGTCGCCAATTCAACCAAATTGATTCGATTTCGTATAGCGTTGCAGCCAGTACGACCAACGTAGACCATGGATGGGACATGCAGTCCGATCCCGATCTTTCTGCCATTTTGGACGCCGTTATCGATTTCGTGCCAGACGTAAGCAACAATGCCGAGTTACTGAACTTAATAAATTCAATAGATGCGGCTCAGAATAACAACAATATTCAAAGAGGCGAACCCATAAGTGAAAAGATGGCCATCAATATCATACAAAAATCTCTTATGCAATGTGAAAGTGCTGTTAACAAAAGTCCTTCTTCACCCACTATTTCGTTACCGGGAACACCACCAGCTTACTCATCGGCTGCGGTAAGTCCTTTCTTCCATTGACTTTATTAAGACAAATACCGAAATTTCAGCTTTATTAAATCCATTTATAAATATGACCTGATTTTTAAAGCATAAGTTTAGACGTATAATTAAAAATTTTGATGAAAAGCTGTAACTTTTCGATTTGTGATGCTTAACAGTATAAATTTATTTTGTGATTTTCTCTTAAATTATTTTTAATTAATAGATATTGCAGTTATTCTGAATATAATGGAGCAGAATTTTTAGATACTATATTTTCTTGTCGCACTTCAGATTTTTGTGTAGTTGTAACTATTTATTTCTAATAATATTTTACTCATTTTATTCCTATATTGTATATGTATTCGGTGTAGTATGCAGCAAATTTTTTTTTCTACATCTACAAAATTATAGTTCTTTCATAGCAATGAACGTTACTTATTAATCAAATCGTGTTTCTTTCCAGCATCATTAACTTTCAGAAGCGTTCTAATATGATTTGTATACTATATTGTATTTTTGTTTAAAAATATCAAATTTTTTTACAGTTAGCAACACAGTCGAACCAAGCAGGTTTTCCACCGCCCCCTACGTATCCTAGAGCTGCTTTTAACGTTCCTAGGGGTCAAGTGCGGCCTGGAGCATCTCAGTATTCGATGGCTGGGGGTACAGTTGCCAGTCAGCAGTTATTTACCCAACAACAACGTAAACAGCTACTACAACAACAGCAGGAGCATAAGAGACGCCTGCTCCAACAACAGCAACAGCAACACTTGTTGATCCCGTCCAATGCTGCAGCTGCCGAAATATCAGGCTTACAAAACATAGATACGTTGCTTAATAACACTGTGGCTCCTAATGTTTCGTTACAAAGATCCAACAGTGTCCCAGAGTCTCAGTTGTCGCCAACTTATTCTGGACAATTAAGTCAAACTCCTAACCAAAGGATTACCAATCAGCAACCCTACTCTCCTCACTCACAGTTGACTTCACCTATTGGCCAACAAAATACCTTCACTCAGGCGCCGGTAAGTAAAAAGTCAATGCTTTATTATCGTGATCATATAGGAACGCGTTTATGATGAATCTTAAACAATCGCTTCTTTTTTCACCAGGGATATCCCCAAGTCACAACGCAAAATACCAACTGGCAACAGACACAACAGCCTCGATTGAGCGTCCAACAACAACAAAATCCAATGCTTAATGCACAGTTAACGGTATGTGAGATATCAACCTTGAGTTAAATAACATTATTCTATTTTAATGTAAAAATTACATATGTGTATGCGGTGTGATGCATCGTTTAACTGAATAATTACCAACCTATAATTTTTTTTTTCTGGTACTTACAAAGAAACTGTCGTAGCATTTTTCGATTTTAGCAATGAACATTGTTGTTTCTTTCAGGGTAATTATGTGTCAGGACCAAATGGTCGAACATTTCCTGTACAGAGAGCTCCTCAGCAACCGCAGCAGCAACAGCAACCGCGAGCGATGGGTAGCCCGGGTGCTGCGCCTGCGCCAACTAGGCAATCACCCTTTCCACCCACCGATTCGTTTGCTCCACCTGCTTCACCTAACTCTGCTTTTAATCAAAACCAGTACCTGAGGTTGCAGCGCACCAATAGCGCGCCCACCGCAACAACACAACTACCAGGTACGTTATTTGTTCTTTTTTTTTTTCATCACCGACTAGATGAGATACCACGCCTTTTTATAATTACGTCGTCACTTCTAATTGCTGCTGTTCTATCGTAAAAGTGTGTGATTTATATCTTTTCTTTTTTTTTTCATTGCGCGTTCTATTATTAATCAGTTGAAAAATAATAATACAACCGGTGGTTATTTTCACACATGCTACACTTTTGGCATGTTTTAACTTTGCTCTCTAGTAGGCCATGCATCTTTAGTGATTAGGTTTTGTGCAGTGAGTTTTTCAATTTTTATTACTATTAATATTATGCATGGTAGAACGTCACATGATTTTATATATATACTTTTATACATATAGATATATTTTATTTGAATTATTAGATTTTAATTACAGCGAAGTTTAGAATAGCTCGTTTTAGAAGCGAAATTGGAATGCAGTAACAATGTTAGTTGCTATTTATATTTAGCGCTCTGCAATTTATTTATTTACAGGAAAGGTTAACGGCTAACGTAAGATAAAAGAAAATTAGCATTTCTATTAATACTAACTTTTAAAAGGACGGAGAAGGGGTTTTGAAAATTTAACTGAGTGTGGTGTCGGTCTTTCAAGTTTTGATATATATTTACTTATTTTGTAAATAAAATAAAATGCGCTAAATTGAGTTTATGGTAAATTTTGTTTATTTAAAATGTTTGTTAGACTTTTGCCGAATAATTTCTACAGACACAAAACATAAGATGGAGGGTTTTTGATAAAAGTCTGTGTTAACAATTTTATTAGAGTTTATTAAATTCGAAGACGTAAAGATAAAAAAAAAATTCGCACGTACAATAAAAAAGGGAAAATAAAACACTGTCTGAGCGTGGCGTTGTTACAGGTGGCCTGGGATCCCCCCGGCCATATGGCAGGGATCACCCCCCTCACCCTTATCCCCCTATTCCCCACCAACATCACCCCATGATGTATCAACAAGACTCCCAGTACTGTTACGATCAGTCCGGTTTACCGTTAGCGTACAATGGTGCCGACAGGGGCCGTGCTCCCCCACACCTACAAGCCGGTAAGTTGCGGCCGAACCTGATGATGGGGCACTTTTACACCGTAGCTTCCTAGAATGGTCCCATTTACAAGTTAAACCTTGTTTATACAAAAAAAAAATTCCATATTTATTTTTCAAATTATTCTGTTAGTGTGAAGGGAACTGGCCACTACGCTTTTTGTCGTAAGTTAAAATTACTAAATGAGATACTCTACAAAGATATCAACATCAATTATGTTGAAAAGTTTAAACAATGCATTCCTCTATATATTTTTGATAGTTATTTANATATATATATCTTTTGATATTTTTTTAAGAAAAGGGTAACAGTCTAAGTGTAAATCCAATCTACTAGAGACACTTGTTGGACAAGAAAATGCTATTTCTTGTTTGTTTATGTACATTACTGGTAAAAAATGATTGGATTTTGTTAGTAGGCAAGATCTGTATGTATTTTGTAACTTAAGTTTAGTGATTTTTAAGGAAATATCAAATAACGTTTAGGGAAAGTCTATGAGGAAGTTAGTTTCATATTAGTAGTATACTAAAAATTTTGCTTGTATGAACTGCAACTTTTTCTTAGTTATGTGTTTTTTTTGAATTGGTCTAAAATAAATATACTCTCAAAAGCAATTGTTAGAGTTCTATTTTTACGTATTTAGTTTCATGTTAATTATGAATTACTTCTTCCCTTCGTGTTCAAACACGAAATTATTTTCAAATTTATAGTGCAGAATAGTACTCAAAAATTTGAGGTTGAAAAATATCGAATAAATAGATAACACATTCTTATTATTTTATTTATATAGTAGTGCTTATTTTTCAAGAGTTTTTAAATTTAGTAAAAGTGGCCATTCTAGGAAGTTAAAAGGATTATTATCCGTGATCATCTCACCAGCACTCATATTATCGGCACATCGCCCGCCCTGTGTCTAACAACACTCATAATACATTATTACATGTGTTCGCCTCATGGCTGTGCTAAAACCACTGGGGAATTCCCATCCTTTGCCAGAAAATTAAAAAAAAGAAAGAAAATCCTACGCCAACAACCTGCCTGACCCTCGTTCACCACAACTACCTTGTCATCATTTATATGTATTGCTGTTTTTTTATATGATTGCCTTGTGTTCCATGCGCTTTACATTACTCTGCATTCTTCTTATTTCAGTAGATGCTTTTCATTCTTATTTAATTGCTCATTAACTTTAAACTCTCATTATTCGGAAATAATGGAGGTATTTTTTGCTTATATGTTACCGTATGTAATCGCCTTATTTATAAATGTTCCTTTGTTTCCTATTTCACCAAAAACATTCAGTATTTAATAAAATATTGCGATGTAAAATGTAAAAAACTATAATGTTGGTTCATTAGTCTTTCAATTATTTCTGTTTAGCCAATAATGAGAACTTCAAAGTTAATTGTGTATTTGGTTTTTGAGCATGACTTTTTGGAGTATCCTTTCTGCATGGTTTTACATACTTGATCGTATCGATATATGTAGTTATAAATATTCACAAATTTATAACCTGTTTTATGTGCGTGAGAGTTTCTGTTGTACTTTTGCTAAAAAAATGTACTTTCAGCATGACTCATGCATATACTTCTTAATAAGAAAAAATCCCTTTTTCTTTCATCAGTTTGTCAACGTATCTGTAATTATTATTTGTTACATTCCGTTATTATTGTAATGAAATTTAAAAAGGAAGAGGAATGTACTGAAAAGTTGTGTATGAGTTATGTTGAATATTGCTAATGCGCATTAGCTTGTGGGAAGCCATGTTGTTAGCAAAATTTGTGACAGGTGTGTCGGGCAGTGGGACAACGTCGGAGTATGTGAGACAAGAGCTGCGAGCTGTTGTAGGAGCGCGAACCGGACAAACGCAGCAACAACAGCAGCAGCAACAACAGGTACCTAACAGGCCCCCATCGCAAATCATCATCAACCAGCAAACAGTCAACACAGCTGATCTCGAAGCACTGGGTCTTTCTTTTGAGATGCCAACGTCTGGTAAGTAAATTGCTTTTGATTCTTGGTTTTTTAAAGATTTAGTTAATATCTAGGGGGATTTTAGAAAAGCACGTTTTTTTTGTTTTGCCGATTATATTGTATGGTATATAACAAATGGGACAATGTCATTATGCATTTTTATGTACATATGTTTTATATACAATGCTTGGGGCAATGTAAACGAATCATTGTTCTTTTTGGGTAAACTAATAATACAAGGTGTCCTTCATTAATCGTTCATCATTTGGGTATCATCAGAAAAAGTCCATATTTAAAATTTCGAAATTAAAACTACTGCTAGTTATACACAGTAATACATTTACATAGTCTATTTTTTAAATTTATGTTATAAAGTATACTGTTTTTATAGTTTTAACTAAAAATGTGATAATGTATAACAGACACCTTGTATTTTGTTCACACGAACACAAGATGTGAAAACTTCGAAAAATTTACTTTAAAAACGTTCGGTGCTATATTTTAGTCCATCTACTTTGGGTTAATGTTGATATTAAACTTCAAAGCAAACCATTTTCTTTTTTTTATGAATTTCAAGAAGTCTATTGCTTATTTTATCTTATATCTATAATGATACAAAATTGGAAATAATTTTTTTTAAATTTTGTCAATTCGAATTCGTTCAAAATAGCTAACATTTTTACAGTATTTTGTTTTGTTCTTACAATGATGTTTATTATCAGTATTAGTGTGTCATGGTATTAATAATCAAAAATGGGGCAGAATTTACAAGAATTGCATTTACGCGGTATTAGATAATACAAAATTAAAACGTTTTACACATTTTGTTACATATTGAACTCAAATTATTAAACAATTGTTGACAGTAATAATCATTCTTTGGTGATGTGTTAAGTACTTGTGTTCGATTTACAAGTTGTACTTGCTTATTAAATTAAGACTACGTTTGATTTATTAAACGATCTAAAAGAAAGAAATCCGAGTTTTTTGTGAAACGTTAATCATGTAGATGCAGTTTTGTGTAAATCTGCAGGGAGTGCGTACAATGATGTTGTTGTTGCGTGCAGGTGCGAGTGAGAGCCCAAAACTGTGGGGTGCAATGGGTTCAGATATGGGTTCAGTGTCTCCACAGCCAGCGACCTCGAGGGTAAGCCACACACCTGTCCACTCACCCCGCCCTGCTTGCTAATACTAACCCGGCTTGCATGCTGTACACATTAAAAACAAATAAACAAAAAAAAAGATAAAAATAGAAATTATATACTGCCGCGATTGCTTCTACTTATCGTTCTATGTTACAGAGTACTATGGAGGAGGTCCGACAAGGTGATCACGGAAAACCGCAGTCACAGTCGCAGTCGTCTCTGCTCCAGAAACTGCTCTCCGAGTGACCACCAACGACCTGGTCACATATTGTAAATAATAATAAGAATAATAATTTTAAAAAAGAGTAACTTCTATTACAACTACATAGGTACCTCAACGGTTAAGTACCACAGGCTGTAATTTAGACAGGTTAGCTGTACCAAGTGCATTAGAACGTTGCTTGTTTGTTTCGTTAGGGTAGTGCGGAGCGAGGGAAGGCGTTCTAGGGTCTGAGTGCAATTGTACATATTAATATAAATGATAATAACTGGGACTTGTTTGTAATTTATATATCTCTGTTACATTTTACGAATTTCGATTTGTTTAATTCGTTATTGACATAAAATACACACGTCGCCTGCGCGTCGCTGTCATAACGGGCGGGATAGAAGACGACCACACATTTGCGCGTCAAACTTTTAAAAACAGAAAAAAAAAACAAAAGCACGCTCACGCGTTACCGTTATTTCATTAAATGTTTAACCAATAACAGTAACGCGTTGTGCGTAACCGTGTTATTTGTGGGTAAGAGGGCCATTTTTTTTTTTTTTTTTGGAAAAACGCATAGAATGTGTTGTTAAAAAAGTAACTAACCAATGACGGCGGCAGCGTCAGACGCACATGTTATATTATTTGAATGTGTTTAGTGTTGTCTTCCTTCGGTCAGTGTTCATGCTACGCATTACCAAAAAAATAGTAACTGTTAATATTTTATATATAATTTAATCTACGTTAAATGGAAAGCTCGTTTTGTTGGACATTGTGATAGGCGATCGCCATGTTACTGTTGCTAGGAGCGTTCCTAGACCTTATATAAAAAAATTAGCGCTAGCATACATAAAATACATACATACTTGATTATTGTCAATTACACCCAGCCACTAAATTGAACAAATTGACAGACAAAGCATTATTTAATTACACACATATTTTTTGTACATTATTGGAGTCTTAAAATATATCTATATATTAAAACCATCATAAATGTGTCGTTTTATTGTTCTTCTAAGGTCGTGAATCTTTTTAAGAGTATACTTGAAAACACTTGGAGATAATATTGTTTGCTTACTGTAGGTGATCATAGTATAAACAGTAACATTAATTAAACATCAGTTTCAAATATTTTAATTGAATTTAAATATTTTCAATACTGTAACTTATTACATACATACGTATTGTGTTACAAAATACATCGAAATTTAGCTAGGTAAAGCAAATGCAGTCTATCTCTTAATTTAGGTATTTTCATTTCAACTTTCATTTTTTATTAAAATTCCTTTCGCTTTAGCTGTCATCACTCAGGCAATGAAAAATATATATCACGTCAGTGTTATAAAATGTAACATGGAAGTTTTAGCTATAGCATTCCAAATGAATTACTTTTTAAATTCAACTATAATTTTCCATTAAAAAAATTATAAATGGCATATTGAATAGTTATTGCAGTCTATTTTATCAGTATTAAGTATATTGTAATGAACCCAAAAGGCATTGCATAATTCATAATTTTTATTCATGATTGTGCAGCATTTAATTATGCAATTGAAACATTTGGTAAAATGGATTACAATGCTTGTATTGGACAAAGAAACTGGCTATTTCTACCTCAAAAAAGTCGCCTTGACATACTGCCTTTTCTACAGTAGCCACAAGACTATTTTTTAGTGTATTGTAATTTTTAGGTTGTTCGAAAGTTCAAATACTCATTGTAACAACCCTAATGACAGAACCTAAATAGATTATTTAACTTTAGTTTCTTTTTTTGTTGTTTGAATTTGTAAACATTTTTTAATTATTTCAGAAACGAAGGAAATATTAAAACGACTTCTACTAATGATTGTAGTTTCCGGATATTCAATTTCTTTTTTGATACAAATAATTTTTAAAATATTCCTGTTATTAAGAAAAAATAGAACGTCAAAACTCCTTGGTTGTCAACATAACAATGTTGTCAACAGTATTTTACAAATTTAAATTTAAATTATCTCTAGTTGTAGAAAGTTCATTAGGGGAAGGAAGGGATAGAATATCTGAAAACTTCTCAGCGTTTTCGTTTTAATATTTTTATTCATATTCTCATTTATTGGAAAAGAAGTAGGAATGTAAATAATATTTATCAACCTGCTTCTTTTTTATGTTCTGATGTCGCATGTAAAAAAATAATGTATCAAAAACGGTGTAAGTAAACAGTATGATGTATAATAAGTCTCACTGCATTGTATTAACTGGTATGCGAAATTGCTACGGCTATCTAATTCGAAGGACAAAATAAAGAAGAGCATGAACTGTGACAGATGGAAGGGACACTGACATGATGACGACAGTGTTAATATGTAGCAAGGAATTTCGTAATGTTTTCGTGGACTTTCCTAGCTCCCCATGTTGAATGTACAAAAAGCAACAAAGGTTAAGATAAGAAGAAGAATGTGGGTAACATCCTGCACTGTATGTTTTGATATTAATATTGCAAAACATTATTTACTGTAAAAATTGTTTGTAAAACTTGTTTAAATAAAACAATTTATGGACGTTGAATTATATTCTTTTATGGATGAATTCTTGACGCGTCATTTACCACTACCCCCGTAAAATTAGTGGTTAAGGCAATTTAATGTTTGTTTTATATTTTGCCTTAGGTAATGCTGCGGATCTACTTAAAAAAAAAAAAATAACCAAGTATATTTTTCAATCAATCATGAACATACCTCCACATGATTTAAAAGTAGTAAATATGCTATTATTTAATTTTTCTTCGAGTTATTGTAAATATCTATATTTGCTTTATTTTTTTATTTGGAAGTGTTGGTCGTATATAAATCATGCATATAAAGTTATTTTCTTTCACAGCAAGTTATTCGTAAAATGACTGTAGCCGTCAGTGAAAGAGAATTATAAATTTTAGATCAATGTAGACGTAATTGGCATGTTGGACGGTATGTATGCCTAGTAGAATGCACCCTATTCATCTATAGAATAAATTGACGTAATATTTTGGTCAGTTTTGGTACTTGCTCTTCGGTGTGTATTTTTGTTTTATTTCATCTTAATAGCGTAGTTAATTTGCTTTTATTGACGATTTCTTACAGATATACCGATAAAATAGAGAAAGCATTGTAGTAATTTGTACTTTTGCTTTTGCTGGACTTTATTGTTTGTCGTTTACTTTTCACCTAGAACGACTTTGCAGTTAATTATAGTGGGAATACAGGCCATAACATTTTGTATTCACATAAACAAAGAAAAAGCTTCATCATTACTGTAACATGCAATGCAGGCTTTTTTACTAAAGAGGCTGAATGAATTTTATCTAATAGTGAGTATATACTTTACATTTTATTAAATGTTTAATTTCTGAATATATAATACTGTATTTTTTATTTTTCCTTTCATCTGTATGTAACCCTCATGGAACGTACCTTATTATCATTAGCATCATAAGTTGACGTTATCGTGCATGTATGGTTATTTCGTTCAACTATCTATGCTTTTAAGATTTTATTATTCTTTAATTTCTTTCTATGATTTTTTAACTTCAAAAATGATTTAAAAGTGTCGGCTCTTTATCCGCCTATGTAGTTATCAATAGTAGTTATTACCGTTATGTATATCTATTATCTATGTCTATACTTCTCTGCTACCCTTTGTAGAGATCTATTATCTATGGCTATAACTGTGATGTAAAATGACACGAAGTAACGTTGTCATTTCATAATTCAGCTAATTTAGTTGCTTTGCTAGTGCGTTTTTACTTGTGTTAAATGTGTTTCTTAATTAATANATAGACTTTAGAACGCTACTTTCTACAATTAGTTAAGGCGAGGAAACAAGACGTAATTAATATTAGTTTTCTTTATTTATCTATAGTGGCATTTCTTTTAAACTGTTATCTATTGGCCAGAGTATAGATTTATGTTCTGGCGTAGTATTTTAAATATCTATAGTCCACAGCATCTATGGTACGCTGTTTAACATTATTGTTTACAGTTTAAATTGACTGTTGCATCTGCGGAATTTTAATAATTATCTATCGTCTACATCATAAACTACCGTTATCGTGCATCTATGATTATTTCACATTTATCTGTAAAATTTGGTTTGTCATTTAAACTCACGCTTGTCGCCATTTTATAGTTCAGCTGTTTTACTTGGCTCTAGGTGCGTGTTTTTAGGTGTGTTTAATCTCTTCCTTAATTAACAGTGTAATTAATATGTTTTGTTTGCCCGTTTGTACAGATCGTTCAACAAATGAGAGAGAGTCAAAGTTCAGTTTGGTCGTACTGAAAGAACCATTGTTTACATGGGTGTGGTCTTTTGTGAACTGTAATCTTGGTTTGCTGTTTTCATCTTCGCTTTGCAGCATTATGCAGTTTTTGTAAGTGCTTTTAACCTATTTCATTATTTGTTTACTTCATACAATAGTTAATTTCTCTATTTCTACAGATTGAAGGTAAACGAGAGAAGAAGTTGAAGTTTATTTTAATGCAAGTGGTCTTGCATGGTTTCTTATCAGTTAACTTTTCATCTTGCAGACTCTTGTAGTTCATTATGGTGAGCGTACATGCCATATTGTATGTACAATTTACTAATTTGATATTACCAGAAAAAAACGTTTTAATCGTATATTATGCACGTTATTTAGTAGGGAAGCTAAATTAATTGTATCTGAATGCTCTTTCATGCATAGATTTTATTTTACAGGAACAATAGAAAACTCCGGATGCCATTAAATTAAGGAACATTGGTTGTATTAGTCCTCATTTGCCCAGGAAGTAGATGTGTGCCTATGGTCATAAAGAAAGCATGGAAGTGCCTTTTTCTATTGGGAATGGAGAAAGTGTGCTGTTGCTAAAGGAAGGATTCATGACAATAAACTGGTAAGTAACAGTACCAATTAAGAATAGTAAATGAGGCCCCAGAAACTTCTATCTCTTAGACATTTGTAACTTGCTTCAATAGACAACTTTTAAACAACGTTTCAGAAATGGCATAAGTTAAAACAGCAGAATTAATGTGGAACTGATCTTTTTATCAGTCTAAATGGTACTGATTTACTTGTTTAAAGTGATAATTAATTACTTTTTGTTGCCCGTTTCTATAGGTTGTTCAACAAATGAGAAGGAATTACGGTCAATTTTGATGCTACTAAAACAACTGATGCTTTTGAAGTCTTCACCTTGCAACATTATGCAATTAATTTTGGCCTTAAGAATATGGGGCGATTGGAAATGAATTTAGAAGCCATCAAAACAACAAATTGTCTGCAGTGGTGTCCTTTCTAGATTTGGTTTGCTCAACTCACTGATAAACTATAGAAAGCTACTTTGTATAGTTAACTGTGGCGTGTGTACATAACTTAATCAATAGTAATTGCTCTTTATTAAACTATTATGACATTTATTTTTTAATAATTATCCATTTTCCACAGTATAAATTGACATTATCATGCGTCTAAAATATTTCTTTTGTCAATTTCTAACATTAGTTCAACCATCTATTATGCACGTTATTTACTAAGGAAACTAATTGTATCTGAATACTGTTTCATAAGATTTCATTTTACAGGAGCATTAGAAGAACTCCAGATTTTGTTTAAATTATGGAGCATTGGTTGTCTCAGTCGTCAATCGCTCCAGAAAGTTGCTGTACCTATGGTCCTAGAAAAAAAAGCATGAAAACGCTATTTTTCTATTGTGAACATTGGAACGGAGACTGCTGTTGCTGAAGAAAGTATTTATGACAATGAACTGGTATATAACAGTATCAATTAAAAATGGTAAAGAAATTCTTAGAAATTTCAATTTCTTAGACATTTGTAACTTGCCTAAATAGACAACTTTTAAACAACATTTCAGAAATGGCAGATGTAGAACAACAGAATTGATGTGGAACTGATCTTTTCATTAGTGTGAATGTTACTGATTTACTTGTTTTAAAAGTGGTAATTAATTACTTTTTCTTGCCTGTTTCTATAGATTGTCTAACAAATTAGAAGAAATTGGTGCTACTGAAACAATCTATGCTTCTGATGTGAAGANCTCCAGGAAGTAGCTATGCTTATGGTCCTAAAAAAAGGCATGAAAACGCCATTTTTCCATGAGGAACGGATAGTGTGCTGTTGCTGAAAAAAGGATTTATGACAATGAACTGGTATGTAACAGTATCAATTAAAAATTCAATTTCTTAGATACTTGTAAGTTGCCTCAATAGACAACTTTTAAACAACATTTCAGCAGAATTAATTTGGAACTGATCTTTTGATTAGTGCGAATGTTACTGATTTACTTGCTTTAAAAGTGGTAATTGATTACTTTTTCTTGCAGGTTGTCGTAACAAATTAGAAGGAATTGGTGCTACTGAAACAACCGATACTTTTGACGTTTTCAACTTGCAACATTATACAGTTAGTTTTGGCTCTGAGAATGGGGAGCCACTGAAACAACAGAAGTGATATCCCTCTTAGATTTGCTTTGCTCATTATACTGGTAGACTTTGGAACGCTACTTTCTACAGTTAGTTAAGGTGAGAAAACAAGACGTAATCAATATTAATTGCTCTTTATTAATCTACAGTGGCATTTCTTTTAAATTGTTATCTATTGGCCAGAGTATAGATTGATGGTATGGGTATGACGTATGTATAGTATTTTAAATATCTATAGTCCACAGCATCTATGGTGTGTCGTTTAACATTTATCTATTGTTTACAGTTTAAATGGACTGGTGCATCGGTGGAATTTTAATAATTATCTACTGTCTACATTATAAATTAATGTTATATGCATCTATGATTATTTCACATTTATATGTCAAATTTGGTCTGTCATGTAAACTTGATGATTGTCGCCATTTTATGATTCAGATGTTTTACTTGGTTTTTGATGCGTGTTTTTAGGTGTGTTTAATCTATCCCTTAATTAATAATAGTGTAATTAATGTTTTTTTGCCCATTTCTAGAGATCGTTTAACAAATGAGAGGGAGTTGAATGTTCAGTTTGGTCGTACTGAAACAACCATTGTCTACATGGGTGTGGTCTTTGGTGAACTATATTCTTGGTTTGCTGTTTTCGTCTTCGCTTTGCTTTGCATCATTATGCAGTTAGTTTTGAACTGATGAGTGAGAGCAACTAGATATTTATTTTAATCCCACTGAAATAACAAATTTTCTGCATTGGCATTACTCCTAGATTTGGTTTACTTTTCACACCTGC